GAATAGCACTGCTCTTCCATAACTTTCCTAGCAAATATTTCTTGAGTCTTTACTATACACCATTAACAGGCTGTTTTGAATCTTTTACCCACAGTGAGCAATAAAATAGGCTCACCCAAATGAAAAACTGTGATAGGCTGTGGTATAACAACATAAGCGACAAAAATTAAGCAGACAAACTGCTCATTTTGGGGCAGATGTTGCTCTTCATGATGTGAAAAATCTTTACTAATCAAATGAGTCTCCTTTTTTCTGGAGATATGGATATTGCAATGATAGTACACTGTACTTTGGTTCTAGTGAAATTCAAATCCATTTTTTGTTAGTCTGTGAGTAACTGGGTTCGAAGTGGCAGCACTGCACAGGTTAATTTTTAGCACAGCATTTTTTTTCTCACCATGATAGTTACCAATTAATAAAGCATCTCTGCTCAAAAACCTCAATTCATTGCTCCATGACGTATTATCAACTAAGGTCAAGTCACGGAATGCCATGACCCATCTATGGGTCAGGACCTTGTCATCCACTCATTATCAAACAAAAGTCCCCTTTATAGACTATTTAAATCATCTCGCCAAAGAAATCCTTTATGGTAGGGAGTCCAAATCAATTGCTCACTGTAAAACCCCAATACCACGAGTAAGAAAACTTTCGAAAGATAGCTTTTTAAAATGTACGCTGGATCACAAGGGGAGTTCATATTTTTTAATTATGTATTTTTTTAAGTGAACAAAAAAATAACATTTTAGGCAAAGAGTTAGAAACTATTTCCAGCTGATTTCCATATGGTAGAGAGACACAACTGAAGATAAAAAAATCTGCTAATAATTAAATTTTAGTTCTATTGCTTTAAAGGGAAAAGTAAAGTGGTAAACATAAGGAATTTAAACTTACAGAAAAGAATAAACTTTTTGTTTTTATTTAATAAGAAACAGAAGGCTCACTATATTGAGATAAATAAAATAGTTCTCATAGGAATACTTTTGTTAGGTCCACAAAACAATTACACACTATCTTTACTAGTGCTGTTCAAAGTAAATTGACCAATCAATCGAGTAAGTTATGAAGAAATTTTATAAAGGAACAGCTTTTAGTGGTTGTTAAGAGTCTTTAGATTCTGATTTGAAACAGTCTTTGAGATATGTGGTTAAGCAAAATAACAAAATTTAGAAATGAGTGTACAATATGGTACCATTTAAATTTTAAAAAGATACACACGTTTACACTCACACAGAATAACCGTAGGAATGCATGTGGAACTAGCAACAGGCTCAATTTTTACTAGTGATCCCCTTCACCAGGTAATTAGATTATCTATTTAACAGCTCTAATTTTATACAATTAAAAAATATTCTTAGATATAATACCAAAAGCATAAGCAACAAAAGACAAAACAGATAAATTGGAATTCATTAACATTTAAAAAACAAAACCAAACCTGTTCAACAAAGGACTTCAACAACAAAGTAAAGGGAGAAAACTTTTAGGAATAAGAGTTTAATATTCAGAATACATAAGGAGTGCTACAATTTACAATTTAACAACAAGAAGACCTAATCCAACCAAAAGATAAGCCAAAGATTTGAATAAGCATTTCACCAAAGGTGATATAAAATGGCCAGCAGGCACATGAACAGATGCTCAGCATCATTGTAACTATTCCCACTGCCTTTAAGTTGATTCAGACTCACAGTGACTCCATAGGACAGAGTAGAACTAACAGCTCCTTAGGATGTCAGTCTGTCAGTCTTTCCTGGAGCAGACAGCTTCACCTTTCCTCCATAGAGCATGGACTTTGTGGTTAGCAGAATGCTTAACCTGCTGGGCTTCCAGCACTCATTAGTCTTTAACAATAACAACAAAGACCCCCCAAAACAAACTCACTGTCAACAAGTCAGTTCCAACTTATAGTGACCCTATAGGGCAGGGCAGAATTGCCCTTGTGAGTTTCTGAGACTGTAACTGTTTAAGGGAGTAAAAAGCCCCAACTTTCTCTTGGTAGAGTGGTTGGTAATTTCGAACTGCTGACCTTGTGGATTGTAGCCCAACAGTAACCATTATGCCACCAGGACTCCTTTCATTAGCCTTCAGGGAGATGCAAATCAAACCAGAATAAGATACCCATCAGGATGGCTAAAATAAATAGAAAACAGAAAACAAAAATTGTTGGCAAAAAAGTAAAGACATTGAAAACCTTTATCTATTGCTAGTAGGTATACAAAATGATAGACACGGTGGAAAAGTTTGGTGGGCCCTCAAAATACGGACACAGAGCTACCACGTGACCCAACAATTCCACTCACTGGTAAGTACTCAGCAGCGGCACACAACACAAGTACACCAATGCTCAGTGCATCACTATTTAAAACAGCCAAAAGGTGGAAGCCACCAGTGTCCATCAACAGATGAACAGATAACAAAATGGAACTCCGACTTGGCCACAAAGAGAAGAAAAGCCCTGATACATGCTACCTGTATGAACCTTGAAAAATCATGCTTACGTGAAGTACGTCAATCACAGATATCTGTGATCTCACTTACATGAAATATTTACAACAGGCAAAGATACAGACCAAAGTTCATTAGTAGTTACCAGGAACAGAAGGGAGAGAAAAGGGGGAAGCTATTGTTTTGGAAGATTTGAACATGCATTTATGGGGATGGCTGCTTGGTAAAGGGCAGTGGTGATGGTGGCATAGGAGCAATGTAAATGGTGTCACTGAACTGTACATGTGAAAAGGGTTGAATTGGTAAATACTGTGGTATACAAATATTTTATCACGAAAAATGTAACTAATGCGAGGATGGTTCAGGACTGGGAAGTGTTTTGTTTTATTGTATTAGCATTTCTGACTTTGCTTTTTCTGTTTTGAAAGTATCCTTATTAAATTTCCTACAAGTTGAGCTTCCATCACCTCAACTATCTACATGAGATCCTACACAGGATCTCTGCCTATTTCAGCACACACACATTCCTCTTAGAAGTGTCTCCACTAACTTGTGCATGTTTACCAATTCCATTTTATCTCCTTACTTTTCTTCCACACCCACTCTGCCATACTCCCGCATCTTTGCTTTTGCTGTTATTCCTGACTGAAATCCTCCTCCAAATTCCAGTCATTCTTTAAGGTCCAGCTTAATATTATCTTCCCTAGGAAACTGTCCCTCATGATCTCATAACCTATTTTAATCAGGATAATGTGACTTAATTAAGTGCTATCTTGAAACAACGTTTCTTTCTTTCTTATCTCTTCAACTAGTAGACTCTTGAGGCCAGTATCTGCTCATGTCATTATTCTTGTAAATCCTGTGGCAGCACCTTATTGCTTAAGCTTAAAGGCTAATCATACCCAGATCCCAACAAGGCTGGATGACACTTTGATCAGACCGCTAGCTTCCAGGACTGTGAGAGAATAGATTTCTGATGTTTTAAGCCACCTGGCCTGTGGTCATTTGTTAGGGTGGTCCTAGGGAATCAATACACTGCCCTGAGACTCTCAAATCAGTAAGGTACATGAAGTCTACACCCACATATTTGTAACATAAAAAGCAGTACTCAATAATAAACATCTTTTTCTTGGCTTAGCTCAGACCACATCTCATCTAGTACCCTGCATCGTTTCTACTGAATTTTGCCCTTCCTTAATTTGCTTTTCACATGTCCATGTCTGCGTTCTCTCTGAGAATATAGCTTCCCTTTCTCTGTTTGATGCACTCCTCATTTATCTGTTCAGACCAAATCATCTTTCCTATGAAGCCTTTGATGCTCACCCTTCAGGAAAAGTTGTTCCTTCCTCTGCATTTCCAAATGCCCTTTTCTAGCACTTAAAGAAGCCTTGTGGCGCTGTGGGTTAAGTGTGGGACTTACTCATGTTTGTACCTGCGCTGGGTTGAAGAGTGCTCCCAAAGTATTCATGTCCACCCAGAACCTCTGGGTGTGGCTTTACTTGGAAATAGTCTTTGCAGAAATTAGTTACGATGAAGCCATTACTTATCCAGTGAGGGTCTTACATTCTTCCTTGCCTCTTTCTAGCTTCTGGTGGTTGCTGGCAATTCTGGATGTTCCTTGTCTTAAAGCTGCATACTGTGCCTTAGTGGTCACAAGGAACATCCAGAATTGCCAGCAACCACCAGAAGCTAGAAAGAGGCAAGGAAGAATTCTTCTTCTAGAGCCTTGCAGGGGAGCATGGCTAGCTGACACACTTATCTCAAAGTTCTAGCCTCCAGGACCTTGAGAGAATTCATCTCTGTTGTTTTAAGCCACCGGGTCTGTGGTAATTTGTTAGGGTACCCTAAGAAAGAAATACAATGTCCAGTCCCTGGACGCGAACACCATGCTTGGTACAGTGGAGGGAGTGAAACAGAGAAGGATGGACGCCGTGGCTGCAACAAAGGGCTCAGACATAACCACAACTGTGAAGATGACACAAGGCCAGTGTGTTTGGTGTTGTGCACAGTTGTACACACTCAGAACGGACGCAATGGCACCTAACAACGGATTCTCAAATCATGACGCACATGTAGCAGGCATTTGCATAAGCGAAGAATGAAATATGTTCAACTTAAAACAGAAAAAAGATCATATGTTTTCAAGGATAGCTTTTAGAAATGTTCTCAACAGCTTCGTGAAGGATGGAAAGGACCCTTATTTCACCAATGAGAAAACGGGCTCAGAGAGTGTGTTAGTAGCCCTGCACCACAAAACCAGTAAGTGGCCAACCAGACACTGCAAGTCAGATCTTTTTGTTCTAGCCTAGTGTTCTTTCTGGTAAAACTCAGCTAAACGCTTGAACCATTTGGAATCCACATTGTACGTCCCCTGTGGCATTATGGCATGCTCGATCTGAAGCAATAATTTGTACGCTTGACTCAACTCCTTGTTGGACTATGAAGTCCATGTTAGTGAAGAAGGATCACTTGCCTTTGTATCTCGTGCTCTGCCTGGCACAGTGCTTTACCCATAGAAGTTGTTCATCCAATGAGACTAGGTGGATAGATACCTGGAGAGCACTCGAATGGTCATTTTGACAGGCCAATTCTTGCTCAACCTCTGAAACCTCCAGCAGATTCCGTTCGCTGACCAACCGAGACAGCTCTCCAACCACTGTCACGTGCTTTGATACAGTCCCAGACATCTTCTTAAACTGTGGATAATTCTCAACAAATGCCTGCCACGAGAAAAACATCAGTGGGAGGTTCTGTTATTTCTTGACTGAGGCCAGTCATGTATTACGAAAAAAAAGCAAAAGCGGGGATGGAAAAATAAAAAAGCTCAGCTTAAGGAACTTTCGATCGCATGACATTTTGCTCTGCTTAAAAAGAGAAGAACTGGCATGCATCAGCAGACTGAGCTCTCAAACAGTCTACAGATGACCGCAGAATGGAAAGAAGTATAGGGCTTATTATGATATTTTTCCTTTATTGCTCCCTAACGTGGGATATAAGAGAAAGTAAGCCTTAAACAAAACTTAACGTATCAAAGTAGGAATCAGATCTAGAAAATTCCAGGAATGTTGCATCTTGCAGCATTTCCAAAGGCTGGCATGTTAGTCTTCTATGTACACATTCAATTTACCTTCATGTCTGCTATTGACTCTAGTTTTTGCTGCTCTTTTGGTTTCTTCTTCTGAAAATCTTCCATGAGATTCTTTATATTGCTACCAATCTCAGCAAAGTTCAGATACATATTCTGTGAAAAATACAGTTAGAAAATAAATTCTACACAACAGGCTGAACTTTCAGACAATTTAAAATAAGTGAAAAAGAATCTTGCATATAGTCAGAATTGAAAGGCAAGAATTCCATTATAATGACCAGTTTGGACACAGACAAGGATACTGATAATGAATACCATTACCATTCTCACAAAGGGCTACTAAATAGGAAGGGAAGCAATTAAATTGGGTCCCTACACAGTTGTGGGGAAAACTGTCCAGCGTCAGAACTTGTCTTCTGCTTTTTCTTTGGCTGCAGTCTATCTACTGCCTTTCTACATGCAGTCCTACACAGACTCCCATTCTAAGAAGCCAATATTGATCTTCCTACATAAACACAATTACGATAGAAAAGGAAATACCCAAACACCTACGTTTGCATAAAATTCATCATTTTCAGCAGACAGGACCACTTCTCTCAAGTCTTTACTGATGCCTGGCACTCTGGAAAGATCAATCCGATTGTTGTTTATGCCCAGGAGTTCATGGACCATGGCCTGATACGTCCACTAAACAAACAAGTATGACAACAACAAGATTGGTAGTAGACAAAACACAGAAGCAGTAAAGGCTCAGGAAAGCAAAATTCAACATTTCTTAGGAATTAGCCATCTTTATATATAATTTCTCTATTTAATTCCAATTATATTAATATTTTATGCTATATTACACATTAAGATGATAATTTTAATTGGTTAAACACCCAAATGTCAAAATACTTTTAGATTTTACACTTTTGGAAGAAGAGGCAACAAGATTAATTTCCCTGATAGAAAGAAAACAAATTAGATCTATCATTAGCTCCAATTTTTGCCTGTGAATTAAGCGTATATTTTTGGCTTCACAGATAGGGCTATATTGGTACTGCAGTTAGAGATGTACCATTTCCTGTGCGCTTCTGTGGTTTTCTGCAGCATGCGAAGGGTGTGCTTGCAGATCTGAGTGGTGCTATATTTATCCTGGGAGCACTAATATTATCAGAAAGAACCTTGTGAGCTCATCAAAATAGGCATATTGAGCAGCTTGCCTCTGCATCCATTTTATTTAATATTTTTACTTGCTATGAATTGTGAAGAAGGACTGACTTCCAGTCTTACCAAGAGTGACCTTATTTAGTAGAACTAGGGAGGAAAATCCTCAAAATCTGCCTCTGCACCATTTGTGGAAAGTGGATTAATGTCGTCATAAGCCCATTAGACAAAAGTAAGTCTTTTCCAGCAATTTGCCTCACAAAATCTTGGCATGCTAACAAGGTTAAAATTGCTACACTTCATCTTAAGTGATCTAGATGTATTGAGCAATCACTTAAGCGGTTCTAATGGTTGCTTTATTCCTAAAAGATTTGCCATAGGGAGCCTTGAAAAACCACGTTCCATTCAACCAAAACCTGCTGTCGTCGAGTCAATTCTGAATCACAGCAACTGTAGACAGAGTTTCTGGGACTGGAGATCTTTACAGAAGCAGACAGCCTCATCTTTCTCCAGTAAAGCAGGGAGAGGGTTTGAACTGTTGACCTGTGGTTTGCAGTCCAACACATACATAATCAGTACAACAAAATGTTTCTTGCTCTCATAGGTAGCATAACGTGCATGCTCTTACCACAGCACTTATTATATGAGGGGGCTTCAAGCACTTTAGTGGGAAAATGGAATAAAAACATATGGGATTTTCCTACACACTTTTTGAAGCCCCCTCATATAACTGAAATGATCGGTTTCCTTATAAACCATAAGTTCTTTGAGGACAGAGACTTTACCTTTTAACCTTCCATCTCCAGAACCTCGTATGTTAGCTGGTACATGATAGGAACTCAGGGAAATCTGTTGGATGAATAATTGGCTTTCTTTGGAAAACAGAATTACAGGCAATTGTTTTTCTTTCTACTTTAACAAATATTTTCCAAAGTTTCTTTAGTGATCATATCTTTTTGGAATTTTAGAAATAAAAGGCTATCTTACACCATAAACTCCATTCTATGACCACAGATTTCCCTTAGTACTATTATAACCCTAGAAGAAGCTGAAATATAGACTGTATCTTCCCCCTCAAATTCATGTTCATTACTAACAAAGCACCATTATGAGCAAGACACTGTTCTAATGCTTGACAGAGAACCAACACTGGTGAACACAGTCTCTCTTGAAGTAATGTGTAAAGCAGGAAGGGTGAAAATAACCAAAGGTACGACATGCCAAGGAAGTATGAGATGTAAGAGACACAATGTTCTCTACAATAACATTAGGGAGAAATGAGCATGTCTGACTGAAAGCACATTTAACATGTAACTTTAAGAAGTGAAGTGGATTTTCAGTGGTTTTAAGGAGGTATTTTGATAGATGGCGATGGGAAGAGAAGGTAGTCTAAATAGTTCAAGTAGAGGGTAAACTCTCGGAGCTCTGGTTGGTGTAGAGATTACACATAAATGGAAACATGATGGCAGGAGTCACAGATACATTTGAGCAGTAGTGAACTGTCTACTTTCTAGGCAAAATTGAGGAATTTATAAGACTTTTAAGCCAAGGGAGAAATAGTATTTAAGCTGTGCTTTAAGGAAAATAATTTTACAACAGTGTGTCTGTCTGTGGAAAAAATCAGAGTACGAAGAAAGGAAACACGGCTGTCAACTAGATGACTATTCAGTCTTCCTCCAAGACGTAGATCTGCAGTAAGGGAGCAGCAGTGAGATGGAAGAGAGCAGACAGAGAGCGTCACCGGAGGCGCAGAATTAACGTAACTCCCCAGTTGCCTTTATTAGGGGAAGGGAGTCGTGGCAGGAAAGGGGCAGGAAAGATGAGGCAGAAGAAAAGCCAGAGATAACAGGGGCAGTGGTTCGCAACCTTCCTCATGCCGCGACCCTTTCATACAGTTCCTCGTGGTGTGGTGACCCCCCAACCATAACATTATTTTCGTTCCTACTTCATAACTGTGATTTTGCTACTGTTATGAATCGGGTGATCCCTGTGAAAGGGTCGTTTGACCCCCAAAGGGGTGGCAACCCACAGGTTGAGAAAACCTCTGGGCTAGACAAATGGTGAAACCAAAACATGCTTCACAAAGCAAATATAACAATCGCTGAAAGGGGGGAGTTAAATAAAAACAAGCCAAAAAAACGGGAGGAGGAGGAGCAAGATGTCAACGAAGTAACACCCACGGGAGGGACTCTGCAAAGACTAGCCTGCAGAGAGGCCACGGAAAAGGATGGCCTACCCTCCAGACAGCGTGATTCCCAGCGTAGACACAAATGTATTAAACTAAGACAGCAAAAATGCCTGCCATTTGTCATTGGCCCCAGCACCAGCTGGAGCAGTGCAGATCCCCAACTCTCCAGACTGGTTTTTCCCAGACCTGGCAGGAGCTAACTAGGGTGGCTGATCACCTGAGCTGCACTAATAAGGGGGCACACACAAAAACCAGAAAAAAGCTCTGCTGGGTGGAGCATTGATAGTGGGCATTTTCCCCACTACTCAGCATTGAACAACTTGCACTGAGTTAGTGCATCCAGTGGCATGCCTGGAAAGGTTCTCTTTGGTCAGAGTGAATTTTTTCTTGAAAGCATTTTCCATGGAACTTCATTTTTTGTGATGGCCAATTTAAGAGAACAGTATGCGGTTGTGAAATTTTGTTTCCTGCTTGGGAAAAATGTTGCAGAAACTGTAGTGATGTTGAACACAGCTTACAAGGACAGCGCTATGGGAAAAACTCAAGTGTATGAGTGGTTTTCTTGTTTCAAAAACAGTGAAATGTCAATTGATACAAACTTCATTCTGGATGTCCGTCGACTTCCCAAACAGATGAAAATGTTGAGAATCATAGTGCATTTGGAGTTTGCTTCACTAGGTCAGACTGTTAATCAATCTTTCTATTCAGGGGTTCTAAAAAGATTGCCTAACAGTGTGCGACAAGGAAGTCCTGATTTGTGGTGGACAGGGGACTAGTTTTGCCACCACAACAATGTATCTGCTCACATACCCATCTCAGTGTTCCAGGCTTTAGCAAAAAAAAGCATGCCTCTCTTGCTCCACACACCTTATTCACCTGACCTCGCTCCCTGCGACTTCTTTTTGTTTCCTTGAATGAAGAGGGACATAAAAGGACAGTGATTTGAAAATGTAGAAGAGGTGAAGAAAAAAATGAGGAAGGTGCTGTCAGCCATCCAAACAGATGTGTTTGAAAATATTTCCAAAAACGGAATTGCAGATTTGGCAAATGTATTAAGTGTAATGGAGAGTACTCTGAAGGTGATAAGGTTGTTTTGTAAAAAAGTTTACATACATAGCTTTGGGGGGTGGGAATTCTGGTTATTTTTAGGTACCCCCTCATAAGCTCAAATAGGCATGGCTCTGGGCCCAAGACATCTCTGTTCCGACCCCCTTGCAGCAGGGATCGAAAACACAGCCTACCAAGAGAGGCCCTTGCGGATAACTACTGAGCAGTCTGGAGAGGCGTAAATAGTGAATAATTAATTCTCTACACTGGCGGGGAAACTCCAGCCCCACTCAACAAAACTAACCCCTGGTTCCAGAGGTATAGCAGTGCGCTGTGCCATCTTAATGTACCGTGGCCATTCTCAAACTTTCCCCCCTTTGACAGCAGACAACACACACACCTGGTCCATTAGCAAAATATCAGCACAGCAATACAAGTAGACTCTTCACCACCAGTTTTAGGAAGCACCTGCAGGGAGTTTGTGCGTGAGACAAGGACCCTAATAAGTTCCAGTGCCCAGAGGCCGCTCAGGGCTGAGGTACTGGATAGACTAAGTGACCAATTGGACAGCTGTACTACGACACCAGCCCTTCCTTGGTCAGCACCCCAAGTTGCTCAGATAAGCAACCTGCCCTTTGAGGAGGCTATTGCTTCATCCCGCCCTCCTAGTCCATCTAGACAGGTGACAGCAATAGACCCCACCCCCAACTCCCAAATGCGACTGAGAATCACAGTATGAAATGACCCCCCCACCAAGTGGGATCACCTACATCATCCAAAAATAGTTACACCTGACCCCTCCAACCTGATCTGCCAGAGGTCTATTCCCGCAAAATAATTAACCTAAATAGAAAGAATACAGGGCTCCCGGCCCTACCAGACCCCAAATCATTCCCGTGGCCTCAATCTCAAGCCAACCCTTACATCCTAAAAGACTACAAGGTGGTCAAACAACATTGGCAGACACTGTCCCCAGCTGTTCAAAAGACCTCTGCCCCACACCCCGCTGATTCCCCAGGACAAGGTCAAGACCCAGCTGCTCTTCTGCTGGTACTGTGGTTGCTCTGTGTGCTATCATTCCTATCCCCCTCTGACACACAGTTGTGCACTATTCCTTTAATTCATCCTTAAGTAGGACTTCCACATCTGTTGGTCTATGTAAGGACATCTATATGTATGCATGTAGGTGTATACACACATACTTTTACTTTTTTTGGATTTTTTTAAGCATTTTATTGCGGATTCGTACAACTCTTATCACAATCCATACATAAATCCATTGTGTCAAGCACATTTGTACATTTGTTGCCATCATCGTTTTAAAACATTTTCTTTCTACTTGAGCCCTTAGTATCAGCTCATGTTCCCCTCTCTCCCTCAGGAGCCCTTGATACTTTATAAACTATTGTTTTTTCATGTCTTACATTGTCCGATGTCTCCCTTCCCCCACTTTTCTGTTGTCTGTCCCCCAGGGAGGGGGTTATATGTAGATCCTTGTGATCGTTGGTTCCCCCCCCCCACCCCTTCCCCTTCCCTTCCTGGTCTCATTATTGGTCCTGAGGGGTTTATCAGTTCTGGGTTCCCTCTGTTTCCAGCTCTGATCTGCACCAGTGTGCAGCATTTCACTTTTTTAATTTCAATTTCCTTTTGGGTTTCTAGTCCCTCAACACATCATCCATCCACAAGTTAGCACCCAGTCAGAGACAAAGCTCCTGGGCAGAGCGTGGGGCCCAAACATACTCTACCAGCTCTTCCACTTCTTGCTCTAGTAGTAGTTTTTTTATTGTTATTTTTAATACTTTTATAGCTTGCCCTTTCCTTCTTTACTTTTAATATCTAAACTTTTGCTTCATAGCCCTTTTGCCCATCTTCTTTTTCCTCTTTCTTTTCTTCTCATCAATCCTTCTCTTTCCTTCTAATCCTCATAAAACCAACAGCTGACACCACTCTAACTTTTTTCTATTTTTCTCTCAAATTTTATTAGCTATTCCTTCATCATTGCAAAACAAGCTCCGCCCCCCCCAAAACCTGGCTAATTTTCTTTGAACCTACCAATTAACACTACCTGAGATCCCTCCCTTTTCTTTTTTGTTTCCTTTTTCCTTTCTTTCTCCCTCCACTAATACTTCCTCTCTTCCACTCTTTGATCTTCCCCCTAATACTTAATCTAACATGGTCCCCCAGATACTTAATATAAAGTATCTACCATCCCTTTACTACACCACCTAACAGAGTTAACTACACCCACAAAACCCCACCTTCCTAACACCCAATAGCTACACCAAGACGTCAAGGAAACACCAGGAGATATCACTTCACATCCACACACACAAAAGAGAAACAGACATGATAACCGAGCGCCAAGCAGACCTAAATGCAATGCCTGAAATTGAACAGGCTATGGAATTACCAGAAAAATAACTTTAAAAGAATGATGATTGCACACGTACAACAAATGAAGGCAGAGTCTGAGAGGAAAAGTGAAGAAAATAGAAAAGCTTAGAAACCTCACTACATGCTTTACAGACAGAAACACAAAAGCCAAACACTGCAATAGCAGAATTACACAGTACGATGAAAGAACAGAGAAACAGAATTAAAGAGATGAATCCAAATTAGTGGGCTTTTAGAAAAATCTATAGACTCTAATCTAAATATACAGAATTCTACAACAGCTCAATAAGAAAATAACAAACAACCCAATTAAGAAATGGGAAAAAGACATTAACAGACAGTTCACCAAGGATGAAGTCCATTTTTAAAGCAATTTAATTATGGATGTGCATGATATGAATATTATATCAAGGAAACTACTAAAAAAAGAAATTACAAGGCATTTTTATAAAAATTCAATGATTGGTTTAAAACATGAAGTACAAATGGCTAATAAGCACATGAAAAAATGTTCACGATCACTAGCCACCCAGGAGATGCAAATTAAAACCACAATGAGATACCTTATGCCAGGCCCACGGGCCACATGCGGCCCGCCGAGAACATTTATCTGGTCCGCTGGGTGTTTTTGCCCTGTTTTTCACTTCAAAATAAGATATGTGCAGTGTGCATAGGAATTTGTTCATAGTTTTTTATTTAAACTATAGTCCGGCCCTTCAACGGGTCTGAGGGACAGTGAACTGGCCCCCTGTTTAAAAAGTTTGAGGACCCCTGCCTTATGCCCACAGTGCTAGCCCAATTAAAAACAAACAAAACAGAAAACAACAAATGCTGGATAGGTTGTGGAGAGGATGGAACTCATACACGCTGTTGGTGGACTTGTAAATAAATACAGCTATGGAAACAATATTGTGGGATATAAGAAGACTTTTCCCCAGCTTTGTCTCCCCCAAAGATATACCAAACATTAGAGGCTATTTGCCAGCATATGGTGGGAGGACAGGTGCTTAGAGACATCCTCCCTGAAGGCAGTCAGTTGCCAGACTACTGTCTGGTCCCACCACAACAGGGGCCCACTCCCTGCTGTTAAGGACAATGGGCTACTTCTCCGTAAAGGCTTGCGACTCCCAGTCTGGTCCCTGTAGGTGGGGTTTACACCATCCTGATAATGGTTTCCATGGAGAGCCAGAGAACAGGTCAAACCTGCTCAGTGATATATATCCAAAGTCAGGCTGCCATCCTGAATCTAGGATCCGCACTTCTTGTCACATGTGTACCCCGAATACCTCCCCTTCCTATTGCATGGATACCCCTAGATAATCCCCCTCATTACTGTAGTACCTATAGTACAACACCTTCCTGTGACATATGTCTTTACCTATAGTTAGGGAACTAGTACACCCCCAAAGATATATAAGCCTTGGTTGGCAATAAAGAGCTCTCTCCCTTGCCTCCCTTCTCACCCTGGCGCTCCCCTGAACTCTTTCCCCTTGACCTCCTTCCCCTCCCCCTCCCTCCTGCCTTTTGGTTTCCAATCACCACATGGACCACCAAGTGGGGCCGAGGTGAGCATGCTACCATGAAATGTATCTGACTCCATTATTTCAATCTCTCGTCTATCTCTCATGCTCTCTGTGACTTTATTATACTATACTATATATATATATATATTTTAACCGTACAATTGTGCCTATCAAACCCACGGTTAGTTGTTGGGGGCTGGCCTTTCCCCCACACAATATGGTGATACTTAAAGCAAGTGAGAACTGAAATCCTATATGATCCAGTAATACCACTACTAGGCATATATCCAAAGAATGAGACACAGAACATAAGTGGGTATATGCTCTCCCATGTTTATAGCATTACAGTTCACAATAGCAATAAACTAGAAGCAGCCCACATTCCCAACAGTGGATGAATGGATAAAGAAACTATAGTACATTCACATAATGGAATATTATGCATTCCTAAAAAACAGTGATAAAACAATGAAATACCACATGGCATGGAAGATTCTGGAAACCATTATGCTGGATGAAATTAGTCAATCACAAAAGGGCAAATATTGTAATGAGTCCACTACTATAAGGAGACACACCAATTACACAAATCTTAAGAGACCAATTCCCAGTAGAAAGTCTGCCTACTGGTCATAAATCATACATCACCTCTCCTTATGTGCACTTTCTAAGAAGCACCTCAAAAGAGACCTCACATTGGCTGGGGTCGCTTCATCAAGAAGTGGGAATGGGAGATGACCACCCACTCAGTGCTTACCAACATTGAGACAAGACTATGATAAATCAACAGCGCCCCGCCCCCCAGGAATAAGGGGGAGACCCTTACTGGAAAATCAAATTAAGACCAGGAGAAGGGAGCATCTACATCCCAGAAAAGACACTTCTATTTCCGCTGGTGCAGATGGTGGGTAAATGGGGAGGAGCAACCTCACACCAGGAAAGGGTGCTAAACAATAATTGTATGGAACCGAAGGGGAGAATAAAACCAGTTCTATATTCTATATTCAAATTGTCTACCTAACCCTTGGTGAACCCCACCACGGACTAAGCACTAGGATGATGTTAGACGCTGGTCTTACAGGGAACATGGCATCCCCTAAGAGCCACACCAGAAATACGACGTGGAAGCCCAACTGAAAGAACCGAGGGAGTGGATGCATAGAGACAATAACTCATGCAATGGTTTATCCAGGATGGGGTGAGGGTGCAGTGGGTGGGAGCGTGAGAAGAACTGGGGAGCAAACAAGTGTGTGTGTGTGTGGGGGGGGGGTTGGAGAAAGCACTAGAACTGATTTTTTAAAGTGATTTAACAATGGAAGTATATGATATGAGAATTTTACATCAAGAAAACTACTCAAGAAAAGAAACCAAAGTTGACCAATGGTTCAATGGTTACCATGGGTGAAGGAGGAAGAGTTTTTGTTTAGGGGGCATTGAGTTTATGTTAATGGTGGTAGAATAATTTGGTAAAGGATATCAATAATGGTTGCATAACAGGATATAATCAATGACACTGAATTATACGTGTAGAAGTTGTTGAATTGGAGAAGCTTTGTTGTGCATATTTTTGCCACAATTAAAAAAAACAACTACATTAATAACAATGAGTACGAGGAAGAAGAAAATGTGCTAAGTTGAATGTGGAAATGATTGGACAACTCTTCTTGAGATGATTAAACTACGATTACATGGAAGAAGTGCCAATACAACTGTTCAAAAAAAAGGGATCGTATCCATTCCTGTTTCTTCATTTTGATAGTGACTACTTAAAATCATCTTTTTATGTTGTTAATAAAGGCTTATTTCGCACCTGGTTTAGCAATGGAGTGATGGCATCGTCACAGCGATCTAGAATAAGGAGCAATGGAGGAACCTCAGTCCGCCGAAATTCAAACAGTTCATATTCTTTAGTTATTACTTGCTGTGAATGAAAGAGAAAGATGGTTTGGTCAAGCAATTAGTTGCAGATAAAGATGATGTAAAAAGGAAATTAATACATAGAATCCATCTAACAACAGTTCTTTGCACCTGCTTAAGCCTCCCGTAAAAACAATGAAAAGCCTCACAAAATTTAGTAAGATTCTGTTTAGAGAGATTAGAATTTGAAACTCTGTTTTTTTAAATTTTGTCTACTTTATAAGTGGTTTAATTGAACCAAAAAAGGTTAAGTAACTTGAAGATGTTTCCTGAATTAAAACCCAAGGATTTTAGTTCTAATTTGTTGCTTTTGGTTTGGGATTGCAGGTGTCTACTTCACTGTCAATAACCTAACACACCTTCTTGGTTCTACATTTTTCCTGCTTCTTTCTGAAATAGAAAGCAGCATCTGTTCCACAAAGAAATAAATCACTTTCGTGTTCTGGAGCCAGGGGCTGGCAAGGTCATACCTTAACACATTCGGCAAGTCTCTTTGCTGCCTCTGATGAAAGCTGATATCGAATCATGGGACACTTCTTCAGAGACAAAAGGAGAGCGGTCAGTCCTTGAGTTGTTCTGGATAGCTGAGCTGGATCCCAATTTCGACCCTTTTAGTTAAAAATATATTAGACAGAAAAAACGTTGGCATTTTCTTTTACAAGTCCCATTACTTGATGAATTAATTCCCACCTGATGAATTAATTTTTCGAAATCTTTTTCTTCGTTACCTGGCAGCAGCCCAGAATATTCAGGGAGAACAAATGTGGATTCACAGCAATGTAATCGCCATAGAATTCCTGCGAGCAAAGAACAAGACCAGTCACCCCACAGCTCCCGTTTCATCACCCGCACTGCTCTCAGATGTGACGTGACGCGCAACATCCACTCGTGACACTCAGATGCAAGAGATACTAAAATGCCTTAATTAACAATGGAGTAACACAGCTTAACATAGGGAACTTTGTAAAACAGCAACAATAAATCTTTCCAGAAAGGGCAAAATGTGTAAGAGGCATATACGTTTCCCCCAGAGACCTCTCCATACACTCACCAATTAGTAAAAACAAAATGTTGCTATAGGATATACAGTACTACACTCAGGATGAAAAACAAAAAGCTTGCTGTCCAGTGGAGAATATGATTTGAAATTGGTCATTCTTTTATTCGTGTGTAACCACACGCATTTCTTCTAAAAGATCAAAAATGTTTATTTGCGGTCTCTGAAGATAATATTTATCACGTATGTTAACAAATCACAAATGTATTCAAGAACACTATGTGCTAAAGAAGGAAAAGGTAACACGACACGTTCCAATGTGGTATACGATGTACAGAGTGAATGTTTAAGAGTTTCCAAGTGTTAACCTAACAACAAAATTCTGCTTGCTAACCCCAAAGCAAGATAATCACAAATACAATGTTTAGAAACATCATTCACAACCTTTACGTCCTATTCTTTCCCAATCAGACATAGTCCTGTTGATGAATATTGTTACAGTGTAGTTCATATAGGACAAATCTGATTCCATCCTCACTCTGTGAAATTCTTTTTACCAATCCATCAACCTGTCTCCTCATTTGCATTCTCACTGCTCCCTTTATTTCTGTCTCTATTCATTTTGATATCTCTTCTAAATCTTCTAAATATGAGTATCCGATATTGCCACTGAGTTAGTATAATCTAATGCAATACACACCCACTTTATCTGCTCAACTGGCTCGCTTTCTTTGAGTGATCACCTTCCTTCTTTTTATTTTTGTAACCACTGTTTTAAAATTTTTCAGAAGTTCCATGGACTATAATTCACATGGCATACAATCCAATGGTTTACATATGTTTAAGAGTTGTGCAATCATCACAACAATCAATTTTAGAGCACTTTCTTCATTCTTGTGCTCATTGGCTCCCTATTTTCCCCCAACCTCCCCTGCCATAATCTTAAGAAACTATTAATCTAGTTATTCTCTTTATAGATTTACTTATCCTGGATTTCATATAAAGAAAAATTAAGTCAAGCAAACCGAACGACAAAGAACACAGAAAACCTCAATCCAAAAGAAAGCAGAAAATAATAAAAGCCGTAACAATTTTAAATGTGTCAAGAGGGAAAGCAAATAAGGTATTAAATGTTAACCTAACTACATATCCGCATTCGCCTACTTTCCAGGGCATTGTGTCTGAAGGCAAGGCTGTTCACATTCCTGGTCAATAGTTAGCGGGGATTCACCAGAGGCTTACTTACTCCTTGTGGGGGACTCTGAAAATGGATTGGGGGCTCTTGCTTTTACCCACAGCTCTCCACCAATTAAGCACCTTACTTATTTTTAGACCCAATTTTTAAAAATCGGCCAAGATAAGAGATGTGTTAGTGAGCCAAAATGCTTACCTGAACCTCAGCCACAACTTCCTGTTCATCACCTTCAGCCAAAGACTTCACGTCACTCTTGCTGATCACATTACTGAAATCTGAAACAGGCACGTGAGCTGCGGTTGACTCAAAGATCATCTCTGAAACAATCGTACATAAATGGCCCTGACAGGTAGAGCCTGCTAAGTAAGTAAAGTTTAGTATAATATACATTACGGCACATATAGGTGTGGAAAAAAAGCATTCATATTTGAATGAGCAACACAAATATGTGTTGGGAGCCGGTGGCCTTTAAGGCCTTAGCCTCAGCCTGAGCCGAACTTGGCTGCTTCCTAGTCTTTCATTTGCAAAACCTGTGAGGCCCTGCCTAAATTCCTGCCTCCGCGTTCCTAGCTACGTGATCTGTAGCACAGGCAGTTGTAAAGTTGACCTTTTCACCCATTGGTTAATAATGCCAGGCGCTCATTGGACTAAGATGGACTTTGCTTTACACCTGATGGACCTTAATCTTCATTTTGATAAATAGCGCGCGCCCTTTTACCTACAGCTGATTGGTTAACGTTCTTACGCTTCATTAATGTACCTGTTGGATTGGATGCTGTGTCGCACACCTTATTAAAATATGCACCTCCCAGTTCCCCCTTTTTTATACCCCAGCTTTGCCCAAATAAATGAGCTTGATCAGAGTTTTGTCTTGCTCCACGTCCCCGTGTCTGTCTTTTCTCCATCCAGGTTCCACTTTCCCCGCAGGGCCTTGCTCGTGAGTCCCGCAGGCCGGGACGCAACAAATATGTTTAAATTCAAAATAATACTAAAAAAAAGAAAAAAGATCACTGTTTGAGGCTGCTAGGAAACCAAGTCATTACACTGATAATAGAGAAAACGGGAAAGAAGTGAGCTTTGATGCTTATCTTTTGTATTATATGCTGTACCACTGGGTAACAACAGGTGAGGTGAGGGGAAATTTTTCATTATGGAATATTCACACCAAAATAAAGAGGGATGATAGTAACAACATTCAAACACCACCATTTTCTAATACTCTAATGAATTAATGGATCTAGGCATTGAGTATCAACAGCTGCTACAATCATAATAAAAGACAACTAATGGAAACATGCATTAACCTATAAAGCAGTGGTTCTCAACCTGTGGGTCGCAACCCTTTTGGAGGTCAAATGACCCTTTCACAGGGATCGCCTAAGACCATTGGAAAACCCATAAATATTTCACAATATATAATTACATATTGTTTTGTGATTAATCACTATGCTTGAATTATGTTTAATTAGTTCAATTTATAAGAATGAAAATATATCCTGCATATCAGATATTTACATTATGATCCATAGCAGTAGCAAAATTATAGTTATGAAGTAGCAACGAAAATAATTTTATGGTTGGGGGTCACCACAACATGAAGAACTGTATTAAAGGTTCGCGACATTAGGAAGGTTAAGAACCACTGCTATAAAGTATTCTTGCCCCAAAGAAATGGAATCTGAATTAAGCTCTATTTAATTAAGCCTCTGGAGCCCTGGTGGTGCTGGCAGGTAAGCATTAGACTGCTAAACGCAAGGTGAGCGGTTCAAACTCACCAGCCATTTCTATGGGAGAAAGATAAGATTCATGGCCTCAGAAACCCTATGTAGCGTGGCTCTGAATCAGAATCAAGCTGATGACAGTGGATTTGAGGTTTTGGTTATCCAACTACCACTAGAAGCCCTGGTGGTGCGCTGGGTAAAGTACGTGGCTGTGACCCAGAGGTTGGTGGTTTGAGCCACCAGCTGCTCTGCAGGAGAAAGATGTGGCAGTGTGCTTCTGTAAAGTAGACAGCCCTGAAGTGCTATGGGGAAGTTCTGCTCGGTATTGTAGGGTCACTTTAGATTCCATTCCACTGGCTTGGGTTATCCAATTATTGGATATGTAACTATTGGTAGCTGTCCAACTCCCAATTTACAGGAACTAGAAGCTAAAGAAACATGCTGAATTGCAAGAACCTGTTAAGCTGCTTCATAGAGATATAATCAGAAAAATCTAGACTGTGGACAGTTTTCCATATGATTCAGTTTCTGCATTATAATAACAAATAAACATATTGCAAGGAAACGAGAGAGATAACTTAATGACGATTGAAGACACTTATAATAACATATTAACCAACAACATGTGTACCTGATTCAAACATACAAACTTGAAAAAATACATAAAATAAAAACAAAACAAACCCAGACATGTGAAAATTGGAAATTTGAATACTGAATATTTGAAAATAACATATAATTATTTTTCATTCTTATTTCGATGTACCAGTGGCATTTCTTTCTCTTTAAAATGAGACTCCATTTTCTAGACATGCATACTAAAATATTTGAGTAAAATTATATGATGTGTTAGATTTGCTTCACATTAGTTTTAGTGGAGCAGATAGCAGCACAGCTAAGACAAAATTGGCCAGATGATGGTACATGGGGATTTATTACACTATTCTGTTTCTGTGCTACTTTATAATGTCCACATTAAAAAAGGGAGGGGTAAACTATAGAAGAGATTTAATATACAAGAAAAAATATATCAATAAAATTATAAATTATGGGATGAGAAGAGAGCTAATTTTATGTCAATACAAATTATGCTATAAGTTTGTACTGAGTGTTTGCTTCGGCAGCACATACACTAAAATTGGAACGATACAGAGAAGGTTAGCTTGGCTCCTGAGCAAGGCTGACACGCAAATTCGTGAAGCAGTCCACATTAAAAAAAAGTTTGTAATGAATCAAATGACTACTTGTAGTTTACCTCAAACCGAGTTAGTAATTTTAGTTTCTCAAATGATCTTTTGAAATGGATTGTTATTGTTTTCCACAGGCTTTAGTGCTGATTACTTTTATATAGATTATACTTATATATATGAGACTTCACAACATTCATGAAAAAATGAAAGGAAAAGATAATCGGTAATTTCTATAAACTTTTGAAGCTCCTTTGCGTATGTATGTGTGTGTGTGTGTGTGTATAGTAGAGGCTCATACAAAGGTAATTTTTTTAAAGTTAACTATTAAATTGTAGCATGTCCTAGAGAAAGTTTTAGACTAAAGTCTAAGTATAAAAACCCTAAAATGAGAAAATCTCTAAGTAAGCTTTAAAAGTCTCAAATTTCCTACAAAGTGTTTTGTCCTTTGTTTTAGAAATGTCACCAACTAGATTATTCTAATCCTTTAATCTCATAGTGACCCTACAGGACACAGAAGAGCCTTGGAAACAAAGCTGTAATCTTTGTAAGCCCTATGATGCAGTGGTTGGTTAAAGCACTTGGTTATTAACTGAAGGTTTGTGGTTTGAGCCCACCACTTACTTATTAGGAGAAAGATTGGGCAGATTTATGGCCCTGGAAACCCTATGAGACAGTTCTACTCTTTACTATGCATTGGAATCCACTGATGGTTGTAAGTTTGGGTTTTATCTCAGCAGAAGCACATTGCCACATCTTTCTTCTGTTGAGTGGCTGATGGGTTCAAACCAATGAATGATGTTTAAATAGCCAAGCACTTAATCACTACTACGCGATTGGGTAGTGAGGAGTCAGCACCTACTGGATGACAATGGGTATTTATTTTTTTTAATCTTATAAAGATCAACAAAAAGCACTCTGGTAACATAGAGGTTATGAGTTGAGCTGATAATTGCAAGGTTAGTAGTTCAAAATCACCAGCCACTTCAGCGGAGGAGGAGGAGACTCTCTACTTGGGTAGATTTCCCACAGTGACAGTTCTACTCTGTCCTTTGGGGTGGCTCTCAACTTTGGCGCAAGGCAGTGAGTTTGGTAAAGACCAACAGTGACATCTAGAGGAGAACAGATGTAATGTCTAAACAGTTATTTAGAGAAGATCTATATAAATTACACAGTCTCTAAATACGTGGTTTATGTACAAACCAAAAAAAGAAAAGTGTTGTACATGTAAGAGAATTCTACCTTTTAAATATCAGACAAAGTAGCAAAGAGAATGGGAATGTTTTCATCTGGTATGTAAAGTAAATCTCTGCTTTTCAAAGTACACAAAAGGATAATCTCATAAAGTAATAAATCAGCACCTACACCCCAATTTGTGAAAGCATAAAACAGGAATATATACATATGTGCTATATATACACTTACATATGGTCATATACATATACAAATGTAGCAGATATGAGATGTTAAATTTGACTACTCAGAATTTTGCTACCTCAAAACACCCTGAAATACAAAGTAGAACTTAAACATTTTTTAACCTTTGTGATCAATGATTAATTGAAAGCATCTTTAGAACCTCTATAAAATAGAATGCTGATCACAATTTTTAAAATACTTTCAAAGGGCATTAAAAAACAGACTTTTACTGTGATGATTCTGTTCACTTGATTATTTTTATGTTTGAATAGATAAAATACTTACAAATAAAATATGTACTGTATTTGGGTCTCCGGAGCTCCTGGATCAGACAATCCACATTTTCCTAGGAAAGAAATTACAAACAAATAAACAAAATATGAGAAGTGCTTAAGAGGAAAAGTAATAAATGTCATTCACTGATTTATTCACGTATCTGCTGAGTTCACTGTATAAGGAGATCTACATTAAATGCATATCTGTTGGGGGGAGGGAGAATGGAGATTATAAATGAAAATGAGATGTAATGGTCGGCCTTTTGCCTCGGAGAGAGCCTGGGAACAAGGTGGGTCACCAGCCGTGAAAATTCGGCCAGGGCTCCCGTTCTTGTCGCGTGCGCTCACACCCGCATGGTCTGATCCGGAAAACGGCCTCAATCTGGGCCGTCAGTGCTTCCGGCAGTACGCGAAGGGTATCGGCTTCTTCAGGCTGGACTAAGTGATCTTTGGATGGACTAGCCAAGACCG